TAAACCGATTAATGTTAGATCACCATTGAAACCTGGAAGCACTGGACGGCCGTTTCGTCCTATTGTGGGACTCCTCAGTAGTGCGCATCCACGATCCCGCCCATGGGATTCAAACCCAGGATCTTCTGTCTCGTGCGCAAACGCTTAACCTACTGGACCACTGAGCCGGCATCCAATGGTGTTATTGTCTAACCTCAACCAATACACGAAGAAATAAATGTTTGTATGTTAGTTTTTTTCCTAAGTTGTTAGGGTATCAGGCAATGTCAACGATGAACTATACCGCTGTATCTGATAAAATAAAACCTAATAATTCATCAATTACTATTAGAAGAAAGCTGTAGACAGAATTTGCATATCCAATATGACTTCATTAGAATATGTTGAAACTAAATAGATTATAGATTCAATTGTAGTGTTTACATGAATCTTCCTATTGATGTTTAAGACTGCAATCGATCAATCTCTTATTCGCAAACGTGCACACTATGTATGTTGCTTCGATATTGTCTTAATTCACAAGCATTATATACAAAGATGGATAGTAAACAATACCAAGTGAATTTAAACTTAACCCTGATTGCACAATCAAGTGGATATCAGGACTCAGTAGTTAAGTAAATAACGTGATGGTGTTTGAATTGAACGGCGCTGTGTTTGAGTTCCAGAGTGAACATGAACTCTGAGATGTAGGTACATTTAGTTGACGTGTCGCAGATAGGACGAAACGCGCTTCCTGGATTCCACTGTTAGCCACTATTCATGTTAGCTTATAAATAGGCTATAGTTTAAATAGAAACCCATAATCACAATTTATTGATCACTAGGTGGTGATCAGTGTCATGTGTGCCAAGTCCTTCTTAGTGCAAACCGAATGCTATCGACCATGTTGCAATATGGCCATCAGTCTAGGTGACTCGACACTGAGTGCACCATGTTGAGATTAGATGGTAGTTGGGGGTAGTCGACATGAAACCCTGCACCCGTGTTTCATGCTACTTGGCATTCGTCAGCAAGGTCTACCTGTAATCTTGAGGGAACTGGTGTTCTTTGACGAATTCGATTCCGTGTCACCCAGCTTCACAGTCAGAGACATTATCACTGAGTTATCCGGGCCGCGACCGACCTCCTGTAAGACTGAGATGTAATCACAATTGATTGGTCATTGGGTGGTGATCAATTTCATGTGTGTCAAGTCCTTCTTAGTGCAGATCGAATGCTATCGACCCATAAACCTGTTGTTAGGTTTTCTGTCTTAAAATTGAATAAATTTTTACGAATACATATTTGTCCTAACTGTAAATCTTAATGTAGGATGATTTTTTTTTGAAAATAAACATTTCTCGTAAACTTCTATAAATGCATAACATGAAACAATTTCAAATTAATCAATCTTATCATTGTATTCTACTTTTAATATTAAATGATTATCTCTATTAACATCATAGCAACATTCTAAACAAATAATAATATTTATATATATTCAATTTAATTGAGAATATCTGATCAAATATAATACAATTTTTAGTTCAAATAATAAATTCAATTGACAATGTATACAACAATTTACTTAACATTTGTCGTTTATTTAATTACCGGAAGAAATGAACTAAAATTTTATTATATAAATAAATGTCATAAAATTTATTCACAATCGTTAATGATCAATGAAAATAAGTTCGAATATGAAAAAAGAAGTGACAAATGTTACGAGTAATTAATATTAGTGATAAATTATAACAATCTTTGTAATTTTAAATGTTACTGGGGTTACAATAAAAATGAATTCAAATTTAAGGATTAAATTTCTTTTATATGTACATAATGAATATCAATAGGGGTTTTGTGGAGATTGTAGTAATTTTATTAGTTGAAATTACGAGTCCATTGAAGGTAGACAACCATGAAAAATCTGGAAGAACTGGATGGCTATTTCGTCCTATTGTAGGACTCCTCAGAAGTTCGTATCCATAACCACACCTTGCAGGATTAGAACCTAGAACCTATCAGTTTTGTGCGCGAGATCCTAACTAATAGACCAGTGACCCGGCATCCAACGGTGTGAATGTCTAACTTCAATTAATTCACGAAATTGAGCGATATATCCACATTGTCATCCGTGAGTTACTATCTCACAACTGACCTGGCGGGGTCGTGGATGCTCACCGCTGAGAAGTCTCACAATAAGACAAAACGGCCGTCCAGTGCTCCTAAGTTTTCCATAGTGGTCTAGCTTCAATTGACTCATGAATTTAACTATTAAATTACCACAATATCCACAAAAAACCCTTCTGATATTAATCATCATGTGCTTACTATAGACTGGCTTCAAGAGTTATTTCCTGGATTTCTAGTAAGAAGCAGTGACCAGTGGAGTTCAACTGGGTCCATTGTGAGATAGTAACTCACTGAAGAAAATGGTGGACGGCGACTCAATTTCATGTATTGGTTTAAGCCAAACATTAACACCGTTAGATGCAGGCCAGCTCACTTGTCTAGAGGTGGAGCGTTCGTACACGAAACCAATAGGTCCTGTGTTCGATTCTGGCTGAGCGGGATCGTGGATGTGCACGGTTGAGGAGTCCCACACTGGGACGAAATGGACATCTAGTGATTGCAGATTTTTCATGACGGTTTAATTTCAATTGAATCATGAATTCAACCATAAAATTACTAAAATCTAATTGTATTCATATCAGAAAACTATACTCTATTACTAAAATGACATGAAATTATCGAACTACTTATAATTTATTAAATTTCATTGCTGTTAATAAAATCTTGGAAAATATGTTTTAATTTAATCGCACTTTATAGTAAATAAATTAAATTTTAATAAATTTTTAGAAATTTTTTAAGACAAAATATGTCAAAATATGGTAATGAATTCTGTTGATAAACAATTTTTTTAAAAATAATTGAACATTGACATGTCTGAATTTTAAAAACATTTCGTAATTTTAAATTGTTAAAAATAGTGTTTCGGTTTCTTTTTTTTTATTCAAAGAAGAAAGAATAAATTGTTGTATTCTGAGCAAAGATGGATAGTGGCTAGAAGTGAGATTCATGACCAGAGTTTCATCCTATTTGGGACATGTCAGCGAAATGTACCTACATCTCAGAGTTCATGTTCACTCTGGAACTCGAACACAATGCCGTTCAATTCAAACACCATCACGTTATTTACTTAACTACTGAGTCCTGATAGCTACTTGATTGTGCAATCAGGGTGAAGTTTAAATTCACTTGGTATTGTTTACTTGAATCTTCCCATTGATATTTAGAACTGTATTTGATCATTTTTTTATTGGCAACAAGGACTCAGTAGTTAAGTAAATAATAAGATGTCATTTAAAGTGAACGGTACTGAGTTCGAGTCCTGGAGTTAACATCAACTATGGGCTGCCAGCACATTTAACTGACGAGTCCTAAATAGGACGAAACTTGCTTCACAGTGGATTGCATTGCTAGCCACCATCAATCTTTGTATGCAATGCTTGTGAATTAAGGATATATCGAGGCAATACGCATAGTATGCACGTATGCGAATAAGAGATTGATCAATTGCAGTCTTAAACAACAATAGGAAGATTCAAGTAAATAATATCATATGAATTTATCGTTTTGTTTTGAACCTGCTCTTCTTGTACCAAATATTTATATTTATAGATATGCATATCAACAGTATTAGACAAATAAAACACTGTTTTGATGATTACCAAATCATGATGTGGGCAATATAATCAAATATAAATAAAGAATAGCTTAGTATTATCAATAAAGGATATGAAGTTCAAAAAGCTAAACGATTTATATCCATTTATCATGTTTACCACATATATTTTAAAAACGTTTGATCTTGTTTCTCGGTTGTCAAACATGATAACGGATTTAAGCCAACAACTCTAATTGTTGTATTCTTTAATCAGTTATCCTATCATTATCTTATATCTAAATTAAGGGATTTTGTAATTGTTTTACAAATCCATACATGTTAGTCTTTACTGTTAAAAAACTTCATAATTATCTTTGAATGTCTGAATTGTGTTTACATTTGACCACATGATATTTATTGCTTTCATAAATGCTATTGCTGTAGTAAACGAAAACACAAATGGGGACAACCAAATGCATTTTAATACAACATTTCAGAACATCTTGGTATAATCTGAAAACCATACAGTAAATACGTCATTCGCAAAATATCCATCCGTTGTTTCAGACGTTGTTGTTCCTTTGTTTCCTTACCAATCACTCTTTGTGTTTGTCCTTTTCTCCTCGATTTTCTCAATCCTCTACCGTCAGGCATTCTACTTGCGATTGGTGACACATACTACCTATATTTGTCGATATTAATAGCACTCACCACACGACCACTGCCTATACAACTGTCATTTCTAATACAGTTATCATCATTCCATCAAACTTAACTTCCCTACACAACTCACACTAGTATTACTATTACATCACGAAATCTATTGATAACATTGCGGTTGTTTTCATGTATATTTACAAATTAAGAAGCAAACTACAGTCAAATGTAATGAGTGTTTAATGAATATATATATATATATATATATATATATATATATATATATTTATATTTATATATATATATATATATATTATATGTACATTCATAATGAAAATCTTTTTCTCCCTTTAAACTGACAAATGTTACTAACTAATCAACACATTCATTTGCATAGTTTAGTTTTATTGGAATTCAAATATTATTCTAACTTTATTTCACTATTATTCCTTAATATATATCAGTATTTGTAAGATTTTTTATGTGCATATATGTTAACTTAAGTTCATTCAATATATGCAGTTCGAACAATCAAAATTACATTTTGACAACTCTAAATGAATTGTCAACTTAAACTATTTGCAATTTCTGATCTAAATTTTTCTATATTGACCACTGTAACCAAATGAAGTAAATGCAATGTGACGTTTAACAATTCTTTTATGTCTATTACATAGACTATACTTACTTCAACAGTATAAAATTGTTGTCCATATGTTTGTGAAGACATTTGCAATTGAAGTAATAAGGCTTTTTTAATTCTAACAGAAGATATTTCATCTTCCCATAAATATTCAAATGATAAAAGTTTGCCATTATTGAGACAAAATTTTATTGGATATTTTTCATGATAAGTTAAATCTCCAGTTGTTTGAATTTCTCCCATTTCTTCTACTTGTTGAAGCTGAACAAACCGATTTATAATTATGTATATAAATAAAAAGATTATTATCATCAATAGAATAAAATAAATAAGCACAGATTAAACAACGTCAAAAAATTAAATAACTGTCCATTTCAAAACTTATCATTTGGCTAGAAGGTCAGTGCTGAAAAACTGTGTATATTATTATAAGTAAAGTTGGATAATGGCTAGAAGTTGAATTTAGGAAGCTCGTTTCGTCCTATCTGGGACACGTCAACTAAATGTACCTACATCTCAGAGTTCATGTTCACTCTGGAACTCAAACACAGCGCCGTTCAATTCAAACACCATCACGTTATTTACTTAACTACTGAGTCCTGATATCCACTTGATTGTGCAATCAGGGTTAAGTTTAAATTCACTTGGTATTGTTTACTATCCATCTTTGTATATAATGCTTGTGAATTAAGACAATATCGAAGCAATATACATAGTATGCACGTTTTCGAATAAGAGATTGATCGATTGCAGTCTTAAACATCAATAGGAAGATTTAAGTAAACAATACTAAGTGAATTTGTGTGTATCATTTTTTCAGTAAAATTCTATCTTCCGTTAGATATCAATATATAAATTTGAAAAGGGATGTTTATTGATAGTTTTTAATAAATATACTTTACGTGTACGAATATATATATTTTTCGCATACATATATATGTAGACGACTTGAAAAACTGTCTAAAATAATGGTCACTTCTGGAGTAAAACGCTTTAAGAAGTTATCATAACTTCCAATATTTTGAAATAAAACGTTTTCGTAGTGTCAGTGTAGGAAGCCATCAATTGAAACATAAACATAGTATGAAACAAAAACAAAATGTCTTTGAAAAAGGTGATACAAAAGAAATTAAGTGACATAGGGTTAAACAAATAAATCAATAAGAAGAGACTCATTAATTTGAAGGTGCTTTATCTCAATAGTATTTTATAGAGGTCTAAAGTTAGATAGGAATAAATTCCTTTGACATTTATTTAAGTAATGTTTGCAGTGGATCGAAATTGCTTTTTATTCCAAATATAATGATAATCTTAGTCATTGCCATGGTAACCAAGTAGTTGATACATCTAATTTCAACTTTTAGAGAAATATTATAAACAATCCATGTCATTCCATCAACCAGTAACCTTATCTCATCAACTCAAATCGAAAGAAATCTCAATAAGATTGAATGATGTAAACCACATACTTTTGTTTAAATAATCATAACAAAAGAAACTTTGAAAACAACTAAAAATTTCTTAGGGATTATTTATGTCATTTAAAATATTATTATTTTCTTCTCAAGTATAAGTAGCATTATTACTACTTATTAGAGCTAATTATTTCATTTAATTGTGTCGATAAACTAATCTTTTCATTAAAGCGTTGAAATTTCGAAACAATTTATAGCAGCTCATGTGCAATTGAGTTTATACACATTTAATGCGGTTAATCCCTTTTTTAATTTATTTAACGGAGAGTTATTTGTACACTAACAACTTATTTACATCATTGTACATTTATTATTGTTGTACATGTATGAATACGTATGCTTGAGCTTTGCTTACTTACTGTCTACGCATATATTCATCGCTTAATTGATTCAATGATTAATTCATTTCATTATGTATATATATATGTACATTTTAATCCTGTTCACTAACTTGTTCATTCGACTCGCACGCTCACTCGCTTACCTGATTATTTTTCGGCACTACTCTTTCATGCTTGCTTAGCGTACGTGTAATTTTGATAATCTGTGTTTGATGCAATAATAAACCTAATCAACACTTCATATTCATCTTCTGATGAATACAACGTTGGAGTGTTATCTAGTGACGGTTATCACGAAGAACTGTATACAAAGTTTATAGAACATATTAAATACTGACCATCACAATTTACAAAATGCAAATGATGCATTTAAACAAAAAATGTATACAATCACTTACAGATAATCGCATATCACAATTTGGTCCAATGATAATCCTTGCTAATCCTTCTATAATATAACTTTGATTATTTATTTTATTATTTCTAATAGTTTCATTAGTGAGTTTATAGGAATTATCCATTTGATGAATAATTCTCCATTTATACATATATTGATAGCCAATTTTAAATTGACTTACAATGATTCCATTTATGTATAGATCTAAACAAAAAATAAAACATATAGGGTATGTATAAATTAATTTTATTAATTAAAAATAATATTTATAAAATACTCAATCGTAAAGAATCTTGTATTGTACATTATAATAAAAGAATAAGAAATCCTTATAAGGACAAGTTATGTAAAGTGTTATTTCAGAATTGTTCTGAAATCCTGAAGGGAAAAGAAAAAGTGGAAGGCTGAGGAACACATTACGTCGGAAAATGGAAGCAGATATAAAGAAGATGAATAACAAGTGGAAAGAGCTAGAAAGGATTGTCCAGGACAGGGTTGGATGGAGAGTGCTGGTAGGCAACCTATACTCCTCCAAGAGGAGTAACAGGCGTAAGAAAGTCTTGATTCAACTAAAGCTAGATCACTATGGAAAACCTAGAAGTACTGTACGGCCGTTTCGTTTTAGTGTGAGACTCTTCAGCACTGCTCAGCTGCGATCCCACCCTGTGAAATTCGAACACGGGACTTATCAGTCTCGCGCGCGTGAGCTTAACCATTTCTGGAATTCACATTATTCCACCCTATTCAGTATAAAAATGAATGTTTTAAATGAAATTTCTTTACGTAAATCCGCTCCTCTTTTCCATTCCCATAAACGTAATTTATAACTACTTAACCATAAATTAAAAAAACACTAATTTATTTTTAAACAATCACATAATGAAACTATCCGTAATTGCACTATTTATATCACTAAAACCTTTATACGTTATAAACGGACCTATTGTTTGAAGATAATCCAATGACTAATGAAAACGAAATATTTACAATTCAGCTAATTAAATCTATCAGACATTTTTAAATATATAAAAATGTATCATTATAAACAAAAAAATTAAATTGCTTTGTGGAATTTCATAACATACAATTTATTCTACAATATGAATTATCATTAGATACTTCAAGCAATATACACTATGAAGCAATGGTTACTATGAACAATAACATAGATGATTTTTAAAGCGATGTTATTAATTAATGAATAGACAGAAATCATGTGACAAAAGTAAAGTCATTGAAATTAATTATATAATAACTATCATTCATTTAATAATAAAACATTTCCCAGACTTTTGAGAAAAAACTTTGCTGTATTGCAGAGAGTGCTGAAGGCAGTTAACTAGATGTGTGGTGAATCTTTCGAGGTCATAATTAATATGGTTGTGGATAGACATCTAAAGTCATGCAAACTTCTGGCAGGTGTTATCTTATCAGATACTAACCATCAACTTCATTCAAATCTTTCTCCTTGTATATCTTCTGGTAGAATGCGACGTAATTACATTAAAATCCATGCACGTAAGCAAAAGTGTAAGAGTTCTATAATACCTTACCTAGCAAATACAGTCTGGGAAGAACAAGTTGTTTGAGTTAACCTAGTTATTAACCTGAATTCCTAACATGTCTTTAAATTGAAAAATTGTACAGTTTTTCACATTCTTTCTTTCAACAGTTTTTTCCTTCGTTTTTTGTCTTTGTTCTTTTTTAGTAAAAGAGACTTGTTGAAATACCTTGTGCTGAGAATTCTATGTTGTACCAAAAATATAATATTGAATAAGGCTATTAGCAGTAATAATAATAATAATAATAATAATAATAATAATAAACTTCATAATGGTCTCATATCATTTTATTCTAATTATTAAATATAATTTATGATAGATTCAAATAAAGTCAAAGTAATAATCGTTACATAAAGCTAATTGTAAGTAGTTCTATATAGTTATATGTCTCATTTGAAATGTTATTATTTCTGATGTATAAAAACTTTAAATGACCGCTGTTCATGTATAATCTTTTTTTCAAAAGAATGTTAATCTTGAATATTTACAAGAAGTTACCATCTGAACATTTAGACGTCTCAGTAGTTAAACAGACTTATTCAAAAATTTATTAGGAATTATTATTTTATTTGAGAAATCGGCAAGAGATAATATTCTATTTGTCTAATATTGATTACTTCTATTGTAAACGAGAAAACATATGGGAATAATAAATTGTAACTATATACAATATTACAGAATCTCTTAGCAAAAGATGAAAATCATATATTGAATACTTCCTATGTAAAATTTCATTATTTGTTCTTCAAATTCTACTTGATTCTTTAAAGTCACAATTAATTTCTATTTTCCTTTCTGTTTTTTTTCAAATCAATCTTTATACTCTTCTGCCGCATCGGTTTTCCAATTCCGACTGGTATTACATACTACTTATGTCTGTTGATATATGTAGCATACATCACACATATAATATTTATTATGATCACTAGTGTAAGTGATAATATATCATGTTCACTGTTTTGATGATATAAAGATGGAAATAAATCCTAGAAAATTATATTCTTAGGTTTAAGACTGCTTGATGTTTAGCAACAAAGCCCATGTTAAATTTCGAAGGACTCAGTTTAAACGGTTTAGTTGTAATTTTTCTCTAACTATAAGATTGTTGTTCATAGCAGTGAGAGACAATAGGGTTGTGTAGTTTGGTGTCGCATTTTTCACAGTTTATTGTCATGTGTCTAAATTACTTTCGGTTTTGTTGATTTTATTTATTATTATTTAATTACATTATGAAGAGTTTGTTGAAGTATTAGCAAATACATATCAAATTTCGAACCTACTAAAAATCTCAAACAATCGATTAAATTATTAACTCTTGAAGCAAACTGATACAGTAGACTCAAAAATGCCAAACAATTGCACATTATTTTTAGTTTAGACATAGTGAACTGAAATGTAACCTAATTGTAATATCCTAATTTCGTTGGTTAGTCAGATAACTATATCTTATCTTCTTACAAACAATTATGTTTTAAACAATTTTTATTTATCAGAAGAGGATTTTGTGGAGATTTTTGTAATTTAATAGTTAAATTCATGAGTTAATTGAAGCTAGACGTTGGAGGGGAGGCATTCTGGATACACACTGTTGAAGAGTCCCGTACTAGAACGAAACGGCAATCCAGAATTTCCAAATTTCTCATGGTGATCTAGCTTCAACTGACTCATGAATTCAACTATTAAATTTTTAATTACGCAGTTGGTTATGTTAAGTATTTCGTACACATGCGTATCCTATTTACTAATGAAAATACAGCTTTTAGCTGTATAGTCTTTCTATTTTCTAAAATCAGTTCATTTGAGTTTATGACATTCATAATTATCATTTGGTCATTAGTCACATAAGCTAAAGAAAAAAAATGGATTATGTCACCACAAATATATACAATATTTTGTTCATTTAATAGATTTCACTTCAGTATTAGATTCTATTTTCAAATGACCTAAGACAAAAATATGTGAATACTTCCTTCTTTTTTTCTAAACTGGGTTAATCCTTCTACGGTTATGTGTACATGATACAGAATTTATTTATAAAAAAAACACAAGTTATATTGGCATTAGTGGGTAACCGAGACGTTTAGTTAATATTATGCTTAGTTACTAGTTGTCTTCTAAATGCACTGACATATAATGTTGACCGTTTGTTTAATTATTAGATATTTGTTCAATTACCACATTATGTTTAATATATTTGCAAAAAATTTCATAAACCATAACATTATTATATTTGACAACTATTGTGTTTTGTGAGAATTATTTTAAAAAAACAAAATTTTCTATGTAAAGATGGCTAGCAGTAAAATCCAGGACCAGTGTTTCATTTTATTTGTGACTCGTCAGCTGGATGTACCTGCATCTCAGAGTTAATGTTCACTCTTGGACTCGAACTCAATACCACTCGCTTTAAACGCTGTCGCGTTATTCACTTATCTACCGAGTCCCAAATAGGATAAAACGGGCGTCCTGGATTTCACGTCTAGCCATTGAATGAAACAACTACTTAGTTACACTTAGAATTTACAGTCTTCTAGGTAAAGTCAGTCCATGATTTAAATGAACAAAGGCACTTACATTAATCCCCATAGTAAAAGTCACACTGGTCGGTCTTTAATTATATTCCACATGAAAGCCCAAGACAGAACGATGGTATAGTTTAATTACGATTTTGTAAATAGTTAACTTAAATTATCTGTTATCAAACTTTAAGGGAATGCTTGTGATCTTGTTTAACATTAAGACTATTGCAATCTGTTAGTAAAGCCATTCTAAATAAAGTGAGGACAATACTCATAAATTAATTAGTAAAAATTAAGTGTTTCATTATCTTAACTTCAGTCAGTGTGTAAACTTTGTATTCTACCACTATTTGATTCCTAACTACTCTTCATTTGATAGTTTTCATTAAAAGATGGTATCTTCAAATATTGGTTTAACCATGGACTAAGATGGCCTGTTAAATCAGTGTAATTCATAGCTGTCATAATATAGTACTAAGAGTTCCTATATTACCGATAAAATAATAATTAATTATTTAATAAACAGTAATTATTTAGTTTTTATTGCTCAATTTTATTATTCGCCTACAAAAAATAAACATTTTTATTACTCCTTTACATGCATTCTAAAAATGAATGAAAATATTCAAAGTAATTGTACATTAATGATATTTTTGACTTGTGGAACGTCTGATAATCTTCACCTTCTATTGATAAATCTTCATAAAAGTGATGTTGATATGATTTATCACAAGAATATAAACAACATTAGTAAACAATGATCAATAAATTTCTCAGCAATGTGCATTCACGATCATTAGTGAGCAGATGGTAATTATCAGTATAGGGTTGTGGAGATCACTGATGAGTCCCATAATAGGACTAAACGGACATCCAGTGCTTCCAGGTTTTCGATGGTGGTCCAACATCAATCGCTTCATGATCTCAATCATAAACTTAATAATGTCCGTAACCCTATACTGACAATAAATTTCTACAAACTACATGTGATGAAGCGTTCTATGATAACTAGCCAATTTATAAGCAAAATTTTCCTATTCAAAGAATTCAATGAAATTAATATTTGACAATAATTTTTCGAATTTATTAAAAAATAATTTCATCATTATTTAACATCAGCCTA